AAAGAAAAAAAAAGAATGGAATGGGCAGTAAGAAACAATCATTTAGTGTTTAAGGCTAAATCCATTAAAGGTGTGCCCATACCCATAAAAGCCCTTTCTCCAGTACTGTCTCAGACATATCTTTCCAGTTGTTGACATTAGCATACCCACCACCAGACCGTGACAGAAATCACAAGATGAACTCGAGGCACCAAGTTGCTGGTCTCCATTATTCCTCCCAACTAAAGAACCCAGGAAGACACTTAACTGCATCTGAAAACCAGCAGCCTTTCCACCTGTCTCAAAAGGATGGAGGCAGGGCAGAGATTTTTTACCAAGGCAATCATTGACCAAACCATGCAAAACAGCTAACTTCAGAAAAGTCATGTGTCTACAATAACACTTAAAAGTAGTAAAAGTAGGGGGCCGGGGAGCTGGCTCAGTGGAATAAGCACTTCCCTGGCAAGCGCACGGGCCTGAGTTCAATCCCCAGTTCCGCCAAAAAAAGTAGTAAAAGTCATTCCATATGATAATGTAAGAGGTCCAGTATGGCTGAATGAGTATTTTATTAATTCAAGTAAATAAGGGCACATGGATATAGAGCTATTTCTTCAACTGTCTGCATATTATAAGATAGGGGAGGATTTTCTGTGTAAATGGAAGGTATATAAGAGAACCATGAAGAAGCCAAAGCTCTGGAAAAGTAGTAGATCCCAAATACAAGAAAGATATGTAGGTACTCAGCAACCAAAAACTAGGTACAGGATGACAGCCTGGCCACTGAAGAAAAAAGCTAAGAGAAATACTCACCTTGAGACTGCAAGATGCATAACAAGAACAAAAACAAATCTAGATGGAACATACAGTGACCCAAATATGACAAACATGGAAGTGGAGAAGGGAGGAAGCAGATGGTGAGAACTTGTGGTACCTGAGCAGAACAGGAAAGTGTGTAAGCACTGTCTCCATTCATGAGGCCAGCCCTGGGAAGGTCAGCTCACTAGAAGCATACCCTCCCAGACAGGGAGCCATCATCTCAAGTTCTGCTCCTGCTCCATGACCAGACAGGTTCTCTTTCCTATGAGTCTGCTAAGACCATCATCACTATGAAGGAGCCAACCAAACACACTGTATCAATGAAATATGTCCAACTAACTTGATAATATTTAAGAAAATATGAACAGCAAGATGTGAGTTTTCATCATTTAATGTGCTAAGAGGTGTATAAAGATTCAGTGAAAGCTTCAGATGTAGCAGTTTAATAGGTTTAATTCAAAGTAAAGTCTAAATGCTAGCAATTAATTCCCATACACAAAACCTCTTAGATAAAAGTTATTACCTTCTGACTGCGTATCAGAAACTAAGCCTAAGAAAATGAGTAAACAGGGGCTTAGCTCAGTTGTTTAAGTGCCTGCCTGGGCAAACCCAGTCAGGCTTACGGGACCACAATCCCCAGCTCCACATGCCACACCACACCAGCCCTTAAGGCAGCCTGAGCCAGCAAAAAAAAAAAAAAGAAAATGAGTAAACAATTTTAAATCCACATTTATAAAGTATTCCAAAAAGAAGTAAGATGAGGAAGAGGATGAGAAGGAGAAGGAAAAGGGAGGAGGGGGGAGGGGAGAAATATATCAAATTTTCCAGGGTTAGTACTCTTGCCTAGCATGTACAAGACACTAGTTTTGGTCCTAGCATGGGGTGGGGGTGGGGGGGTTGATTTCCTCTACATCTTTTAGTATTATAGCAAAAGCTCAGTATAGTCCAGATACAAGCAGCAGTGATTCGGTAAAGCAGGATATACACAATTAATAAAATACTATGCAATTCTTTAAAACAGATATAATAGTAACATGATTACACAATTGGTGAAGCTGAATTAAGGATAGATTAATTATCTTTCCTCTTCTGGCACTTTTCTTTAAACTTCATATCATTTTTAACAAAAAAGTGAAATAAATATATAAAAATGCAAAACTGGAAGAATATTAACTTTGCAAAAATGTTACAAATATAGCTCTAAAAGAGACAAGGGAATTACACAAGGAAAAAGTCATTAAAATAGCAGAACTATCAATTTTTAATAGAGCAACAACAAAAATCAATACAAATTTAACTTAATGCCCAAGGTTCCAAGTAGTTAAGTGGCCTCCAGATAGAGCAATTCCATATGCCCAAAAAGCTGACACACAACACCTCTAACTGGCGTGGGCACCCAAAGAGCACCGCTTATTTGTGGGAAGCTACTGTTTTTTTGAAAGCTCCCCTGGATCAACAAAGTCAAGTCTCCCTTACAAATTTCAGAAATACCCCACTTCACAAGAGGAACCAGGGGCTGGACGAAGCTCCGACATTCAGCTGGTACTTTAAAAATTTATCCCTATCACCAAAGCATAGAATGCAAATCTAAATAGGACTTTCACAACTTTCTCTTTGGAAATTAGCAAGAATGTTCTGTCTTCAGGGACAATGCTAAGGAGGAAAAGGCTGTAATTACTAGGCCCAAAACCACCATGAACTATAATCGGCCAGGATTGTCCTCACAACACAAGCAAGACACATTACAAATGGACTCTGTATAGCAGCTGAGGTTGCCTAGACACAGAAGAGGACCTCAAGAATCACCTCATGAACAAGCCCTCAGAACCAGAACTGTGAAATAGCTTCACAAGGTTGACCTGCAAGGAAATACATGAGGGAGGAAGCAGGAGGCAGTGTTTTATCTTGCACAGTTCCAGGCACTAAAGCAATGTTGGGAATTGTTCAGGTCATGCCTGAGGCAGACATCATTGCTCCTCAGGCCAGAAAGGGAAGAGTAGCCCCCATACGTACACCCACCCCCCACACACACACCCCTAATCCACCAAACGTGTAACACCAAATCTACGTGGGCATATTTCCAGACCTCACTCAAATTCCTCAATGTGCCTAAAATCCTACCAAGCCAGGTTCAAGTGACAATAAAAGGGACACTGACAACAGTAGCAAATTCTGTCCTCCATCTGCTTCTCCACCAGATGAGGAGAATCTCGTTTCCAGCTGAGGAGCAAGCCAGCCCTTGATGGAGCGCACAGACCTAGCAATCAACCCATGGCACACACAGCGAAAGAAACCCCAATTTAGAGATTCAAGGAAATAGATTATTTCTTTAATAACTGACAAATGCACTCCTGAGAAAAATCTCAGAAATACCTTTTTAAATAAAATATGACAGGCCAACTCAGGACTTGGAAAGCCTAGCTCCAACACCATACTTCCTGACCCATCAAGTCCAGCAAGTCTCAAAAAAGCTGTCATGTGAAAATTCATTTTTGTTTTTGTTTTATGTTCTGGGATCAAACTCAGAGCCTGGAGCACAGTGGCCAAGTGTTCTACCAATGAACTATACCCCCAGCCTAACTTGTTAAGTTTGTTGGCCCAGAGTACAACATTGCTTCTTGACAGTAGAGAGGAATTCAGCCCTACAAGGTACTGTAGGTGACATCCAAAAGCACTAAGGAGTTTCCAAACACCCAGCCATGATGGCAGAGGAAATAAGGTACCACAGGAAGGTATCACCTGCATGGACAGAAAGCATAAGGGCAGTGAAGAACTAGGCCTCACATCAACAATCTGGCTATTCTGGGACAGATGACCCACCAAATACCCTGTGAGGGACATAAAGCAATAAAGTATGCCTATACTTGTCCTCAAGAGCACTTAACAAGAAAAGCCATCTGCAGTTCAAACTTCCTGACTGCTAATTTTTTGTTGTTTTGTTTTCAATTAGAATTTAATTAGTGCAAACATGGATTCAGAGAATCTCATTCAGTGAACTACAGTATACTAGACATTCTACCCAGTACATGATGGTGATAAGATGAAACACACTGCACAGCACCCCCACACATACAATTTATTTATAGCAGCAACAATCAGAAATTAACATGTTTTAAAGAAATTAACATTTCAAAAGTATAATAGAATGAAAATATGAATTAAGAATGTATTGATATATACATCAGTGGTTCAGTTTTTACCAGCAGGCTTCCTTCTAGCTACATTCTTTTATAAGTAATTCCTTCTTTTTTAGGTGCAAAGGTACAAAGGAAATTGTAAGTGATTTTTAGTGAAAATACCAAAGTAGAAGAAGAAAGTATCTAAAGATTGACTGTTTTACATTATTGGAAATGATGAGCTTTGTTATAGCCTTCTTAAAAGGTAATTTAGGTGTACAA